TAAACTGGCAAACTACAGTGTAAACCAGAAAACTAGTAAACTGGCAAACTACAGTGTAAACCAGAAATCTATTAAACTGGCAAACTACAGTGTAAACCAGTAAACTAGTAAACTGGCAAACTACAGTATAAACCAGAAAACTAGTAAACTGGCAAACTGCAGTGTAAACCAGAAAACTAGCAAACTGGCAAACTACAGTGTAAACCAGAAAACTAATAAATTGGCAAACTACAGTGTAAACCAGAAATCTATTAAACTGGCAAACAACAGTGTAAACCAGAAATCTATCAAACTGGCAAACTACAGACTAAACCAGAAAACTAGCAAACTGGCAAACTACAGTTTAAACCAGAAAACTAGCAAACTGGCAAACTACAGTGTGAACCAGAAATCTATTAAACTGGCAAACTACAGACTAAACCAGAAAACTAGCAAACTGGCAACATGCAGTGTAAACCAGAAAACTGGGGAATACGAAGACGACATAATAGAAACTATCAAGTATTGTATTAAGTATCAAGCAAATATTTTGACTAGTAACTTATTAAATATATTATCAAGTGAAATTGCCCTGCTTACACTGCACAATTTAGTGTTTCATGTTCATTGAACTGCTAAAAATCACAACTTGAGTATAAAAGTCGTTTCCTATTCCAGAATTTTTCTTTAAAAATATTTTTTATCTTTAGACCCCTGCACAAGCATAAGGTTTTTTAATAATAAAATATATGCCTACCAACTTTTTCTAAAGTGCAAACGGATTCAGATTCAGAAAAATATTTTTGTGGTTTAAATTCCGTTCAATCAACTGGAATAAAATCCAATTCAAAAGTTTTGATTCCATTTTCAATCATTTTTCCACGTCAAATATAGGAAAAATAAAAGTTTTCCTGGATGAATATAAATTATTTGAAAATTAGTATATATTCAGAAAACTTTTAAAACCCTGATAAAAGTCACTAATTTAAAAAAATGGAGAATTGTTAACATTATTACATCATTAATATTTAGCCAATAGATTCTAGTACAATAGATGGCAACGTAGAATTTGTACACTCTCAGTACAGTTGTATTCTTACGTCACAAGTGTCAACTCAGTTTTTGTGTCCGACAAAATTATTAATAATAGTGATAATTTTAGACTGGGTGTTTATCTTCCAGTGAAATAAGTGCAATTTTATGTGTTCTTTGTTTTCTGTTTTTACACTTTTTTATTTAAACTTGGAAAAAATGCCAACTAATGTGAGAAAATTTCGTTTTCCTTGTTATATTTGACACTTGTGACGTCGTGTATAATTGGTCCATTTCTCTGTTGCTACCTATTGTACTTGATAATCAATTTGATATTTAGTAATTACATAAAGAACTGTACATAAAGAACTGTACATAAAGAACTGTACATAAAGAACTGACAGACACGAAGGGTTAATCTGAGTACGCGATATTAGAAATTAAAATATCAACATTTATTTCATATCATAATTTAAGTTGTTCCTTAGGAACAGATTTTTTAATAAATTTTCTATTAATTTCTATTAATGTTGCATTAACATTATGATACAAGGACAGGAGTTGAGTTTTTGCCACAAAGTCTGCTGTTTTAATCCATATTTATCTGCAATCCGATGTGATAGACCTTAGATATTTCAAACTATAAATTCTGTGAGATCAAATATTTTAAGTTTGAAATATCAAAGGTTTATGCCATAAGGTTACAATGATATAGGGATTAGAAAATTTTATTTTGTGGCAAAAAACTCAACTATTTTGTAGAAATTCCAATATAAAACCGTCCAATGAAAAATTTAATAACTGGACAGGATGGAATATAACCAAGGGGCAGAAACGTCATGTGTGTGTGTACATTTGTTTATTGTTAATTGTTTACATAAAAATAAGTTTAATATACATGTAGTATATTATTTATATATTTCATTCAACACTATAAGCCAAATTTTCATGCAAAGAAAATAATTTGATTAAAATTTACAATAAACTAGACGATATTCAAGTTTAATTATAATTGACAACATTGTTCTGCAATTTCCTTGACTGTAGTCATGTTGTGTGTCTGTACCAAAAGAGTGTGTGTAAGGTTTACCGAACTTGTCTGCAAAGCAGATCCCTTTATTCCTATTCCCTGAATATAACTTGGCGCCAGGTCCCACCGGTGTACATTTGAATATCCGAGCTGGGTCAACCTTTGCAGTCCTACTTTGGACTGTACCGCCAATTTACAATTACTAAAGCGGCAGAGGAGTGTGTGACCAGTGACTTTGAATCTTCTCATCTTATCAGCAGTTATACGATACGAAGTGAAACATAGTACTGATTTAGAATTAATCCTTATATTTATTTTGTAATGCAGTTTAAGCTCAGCTACCCCTTCACCCCGGTCAGTCTATTCAAGCTTTGAAACTATTTTTATTGATTTGCTATGTTGTTAAAATATCTTGTTATCTAGTAAAGTTAGATTATGAATAATTGGAAAAAAAGGTATATTTTGGATAAACATTGCTCTTTATTTTAGATATTAGAATTTAATTGTACCAAAGTTTTCTGAGATTTTATCAAAGGTTTAGAGATCTTTCAAAGTTTTAAGGAAATATAACAAAGTTTTCAAGGAATATAACAAAATTTTATGATATTCTACCAAAGTTTTATGTGACTCTAACAAAGCGTCATGAGATTCTATCAAATTAGAATTTTTCTAATAAATGGTTTTTCTTTTTTCTAGGAATGTTACAAGTGTTGCAACCCAGGATAGGAACCAAGGAAACCAGGGGAACCAAGGAAACCTGGGAAACCAGGGGAGGAATAATCTGGAGTCAGTCGATTCAAAACAGCCAGGTATTATTGTTAGAAACTGCTCTGGCACATAATAGCCATAAAATATCTTTTATCTTTCTGTGTCTTAAAAAATGGTTTTTAAAGATAAATAATCCTAATTAAGTCTGCAAATTTTGTTAGAATCATTAATACAAATTTTGAAATTTTGATTAAAAGGTTTTTTGACTTTTGAACCAAGTTTGCTTGTATTATTTTCATATTTCGACCGTATACTTGAGGTTTATAAAGATTGTAAAATATAAGGAGGGAATATCACATTTTGTCTCAGGAAAACTTTATATTTACGTTGACGTGAACTCGCACATATTTCCGATGATATTTCCGGAAATATTTAGCTTGGCTTAGTTGTCTGAGATTTCCGGACACCTTTGACTTAGTTTGCTCTAGTTCAGAAGTCTAGTTCATCAATTTCGGGAGTTGCTTGATAAAAAATTAAAGTTGCAAATGCAGAGTCGAAATCAAAAGTTACAGGGTAACCCCAAAAAAGGATGAGACTGTAAAGACGACCTGAAATTCATATAATATTATGGTCCCCAGAGACCGAATTTAAATAGTATGAGTTGCGTCGCTAAGCTTCCTACTGCCGATTCAAATTTGAACGACCAATTCAAAGTTAAAGATTTGTGAAGCAAACGCCAGGTCTAGACCGGGTTAAATTTGGTCAAGTTAAATTAAGCCTTCCGACAATTACTATCTTTTAATAGCTTATTAATGATTTTGCCCAGTGAGAAACAATCCTTTGACTAGTTTTAAAGCTTATTGAGTAAATCATAGATTGCAGGACGGAACCAGGAAACCAGAAACCAGGAGACCAGAAACCAGGAAACCAGAAACCAGGAAATCAAAAACCAGGAACACAAACCCTGCAGGCCAAAGGAAAACACCTTAATAAGACGAGAGGATCAGAGGTCAGCAGGAACAGGGGAACAGATTTTTGTGGAAGTAGAAGTGGAAGTACCAGTGGAAGTGCAAGTGCAAGCGGAAGTGGAGGGAACAGGTATTTCAAATAGATGTTAATCTTGAAAAGAACTTCATATTTATCACAAACTTTGGTTTTCTAATAATCAAACAAGTAGACCTTTGATATTTCAAACTATGAATTCTGTTAGATCAAAAAATCTGAAATATCAAAGTCTAAAACACAATTAGGTTGCAATGATATAGGGATGAGAAAATTTGATTTGTTACAAAGACTAAACTCTTTTAGCTTTTATTCGTGCCTGTCATATACGAGTCTTAAATAATTTTTTTTTGTTTTAGAAAATTTTACCTTTAAAACGAATATTGAATATGTAATATCTCATTTGCTCGACTTCGCTGCAAATTGCAAATCGTTTTTTAGTCAAATATTTCAATCGCTTTGATTATGTTTTTAAATTAATAATGCTCTCTTTAAAAAAGATTTTTTGAATTTATTGAAGAAAGTCACGGGAAAAAAGTTTTTGAACAAAACCTGAAAATTAAAACTTGGGGAAAAGTCCAAATTTTCTATAATAAAATGTAATTGGAAATAAAGTCCATGTGTTTTAGATTTTTCCATGGTGAATCCTGCACTTTTTCCTATGCCAGGACTTTTTCATTCGACATTTTTGTATAAAATCATACTGGAACAAGAAAAAAGTCTTAGAAAACAAAGATACTATTTGATAGGACTTTATTTCCGTATACTTTTTTATGCTAAGATATTTTTAGTATGAAACTTTAAAACTTTATTTCAGAAAAGTTTTTTTAAAGAATTTTTTTTGGCGATTTTTGAATGATATATTTAGAAGTAAAGATGGAAGTTCAAGACGTGACTCTGTGAAGTTTTTGCGAAATTCCCGTTTACAAAATGAAAGGTAAAATTAATAAACGGCTGTTTCTTAAATTATCGAAAGATTTCGTTAACGAACGGCAAAAATTACCGCCAATTTAAAAATAACTAAAAATCGAACAGAGCTGAGATATTCATATAATCCCTTTAACTAAAAAAATCTATATTTTTTTCAGTTTAATATTTTCGCTTTTAACCGTACAAAAACTTTTCTTGGGGTCGTTTATAAAAAAAGTTGGGCCCGATCAGTTTTGACGCTTAAAACATACAGACAAACAACATAACTTATAGATTTAAACATGAAAATTCATTCAAATTTTATTTCTCCATAAATTGACTTACGGATTTCTGCTTAAGAAAAAATAGTGGAAATTATAATAATTTAACATTAGCTAGAAACACGACGATATCTTTCACATTAATGAATCGGGGCGGCGCATCCCTCTTTATAATTAGAGTGCCTTAAAATCACAAAACAGTTCATTTCATCTTCATTTTTGTTCAGGAGCCCTTTCAAGATGAAAATCCAGAACCTGATTAGATTTCATAGAAAAATTGACGTCACAACATCGATCGAAATGACATCGGTTTAAAAAATGCGCGCAAAAAAGTAAGAAAATTGACCAAAGATGAGGCCAGCCGGCCCCACTTGTATACAGCATACATAACCAGGTCAGCCGGCCCCACCTGTACAGCGTACATAACCAGGCCAGCCGGCCCCACCTGTACAGCGTACATACACCAGTTCTTAACTAAACATATCTATTGTTGTTTAAAACAAAAACAAGCATATCAGAATACATTGTGATTATATTTTTAATAGATAAAATGTACCAAAATTTATCTGAACTTAAAAGGAATTTGGTCTACCGAGTTTACCTGCTTAAAATTCACTGTTTACGGACTAAAATTTGGAACACGTCTAAGTGCTCTCAAACATCTCCTGTAAATTTGAATTTTATTAATGTTATCTGAGGCCGAATTTAAAGAATTTAAGCCGCTGTTTAAATTTAAGCCGCCGCTCAAATATGGTTGGTTCCAGATAAATTTGTATTAAATTTTTCAAGATTTAAGCCGGCGCTCAATTAAAACCGGTTTTTGGGGGATTTAAGACGTGGCTTAAATTCATCAAATTAGGACACTGTTTAATTATAATTGACATATAATTTGTCCGACCCTTTGGGTCGTTTTTCAGCTCTAAGTTGTGTTCCATATGACTGTGTTTGTGTATCGTGGAGTCTCAACTTTGAAATATGTCGATAAAAATGGTTGTTTGAAAAATAAAAAAAATATGAAACTTTCGTAAACTTAATCAAAAACAATTAATTAGATTTCAGCTTGATGTTTCTTACATCATTGGCCATTGGCGCTGATTATTACCAAATACTAGAGAAAGGCTATGGATTTTTTTCCGATTTAAAAAATATAATATTTATAGCAATTGTTGTCGTTGTCAAAAGTAAATCTTGAATCATGTTTTTGTGTACAATCACTTCTTTAAGACAAAACAACATAAGCTTCTCCAAAAATTGATAATCTTTTGTTTTATCATAATATATATATTTACTTTACCGACGTAATTCTCCCCCTAAATACTTGAAAAACCTAACACAAAATAATATTTTTCTAAAAAACGACGAGTTCCTTATTAGTAGAAAAGAGTATTTTGTAAATACTTGAAAAAATCTGTAATAATGTTGTTGCTGTCAAAAAAAAAAGGATTTCCAACCAAACACGAAAAAATGTAAAATCTGTCTGTACAAACTGTCTGTGCAAGTTGTCTGTGAAAATTGTCTGTGCAAACTATCTGTGCAAACTGTCTGTGCAAACTGTCTGTACAAACTGTCATGTGCAAACTGTCTGTGCAAACTGTCTGTGCAAACTGTCTGTGCAAACTGTCATGTGCAAACTGTCTGTGAAAACTGTTTGTGCAAACTGTCATGTGCAAACTGTCATGTGCAAACTGTCTGTGCAAACTGTCATGTGCAAACTGTCATGTGCAAACTGTCTGTGCAAACTGTCATGTGCAAACTGTATGTGCAAACTGTCTTTAAAAAGGGTCTAAAAACAGTTTTTTAAACTCTATGAAAACTGTATTGCCTCTGAATTAATACAAATTTTTTTTGCATGAAATTTATTGTATATTATTATTGTAATATATAAGTTTCCTGTAGAAGTTTTAACTTTTTATTGTCTGTTTTGGTAAACTAAATTCAACCTTTGCCACAAACTCAGATACTCTAATCACTATATCTTTGCAACCTGACGGCGGAAATCATTGATATCTCATACTTCGATTATTTAATCCACAAACCACACTATATCTTCGGTCAGTGTACTGCAAATCACTGTAGTATGTACCGAATTCTTAATTGGTCGAGGGTTGATCTAACATCACTCATAGATTAAAATATCTAATGTTTTATACGGGCCGCAAAGATGTAGGGATTAGAAAATCAGATGTTGTGGCAAAGACTGAACTCCTTTGGAAAGGTATAGGTAATAAAGTCATTAACATTTGTTGCATCTGAAGTCACTAAATAGTCTTTTTTAATTATTTGAAAGTAAATTGTGAAAAACTTAAAAAACTCAATTGGGAAAGCTTGGAGATTTTCAAAAGACCTTAGATATTTCAATTTTTTTACAGGTTTGCCTGCATTTCTCTGGTAAAAAATATTAATCAAAACGATATAACTTATAATTTGCATTCAATTGTTGTAAATTTTTCCGTTGGCCTGAACTTTTTTGCCTGATCAAGATTTTTGACGTTAAAAAAAGAATCAAATTTTGTAGGTTGAAATATATCTCAATTTCACGCGTTATTAATCAATCTTAAAAACAAAACATTTGTAAAATATATAAACTATAAACCAGATATTAGATTAGTTTATCAAAATTTGTTATTGTCATCCATTAAATTCCATTTTATATATGTTATAATAAGGAGTTTAAGAAAACTTTGTAACTATTTTTTGTAAGATGTATATCTGTAGACTTAATGTTAGTTTTAAAAAATAAACTGTTGTGATGAGATAAATTATTATTTTGAGAAACATTTCATTTAAAAACATTCTTGATATAAAGGAATGTGAAATGTAAAGTAAAGTGGCATAACAGATTCACAACAGTATCATAACAACGGTATCCTAACAACGGTATCCTAACAACGGTATCCTAACAACGGTATCCTAACAATGGTATCCTACCGATCTGTTTTCTACCTTAAAACGTATTCAAATTTGAAATTGCCCTCATCACTCAGATCCGCCACAAACTAAAATAATCATTTTTCCTTGTTTAGCTAGAAAATAAACAATATGACATATATTATTTATACGAAAAAGCTTAAAAGGGTTCTGTTGTGAATCGGAGGGTCACTTGAAATTATGTCGACAGTACCTTTAAGTCACCCTAATTAAAAATATTTACTCCGATTAGGCAAAAAAAAATGCAACGATCTGGATTATAAATTCTCACAGACAAAATTTTATAAGCTGAGTAAAACTGAAAACCCTAAATGGAGAATATATTTGTTCATGTTTAATGTTTTTATAATAAGTTTACCAAAATCAAAAGTTAGTAGACAAGAATGGGACTTTAGAAAAATAGTTTTCATAACATTTTAGAAATCAGATGTTTTTTCTTCTAAATTCTCATACTTAGTATTACTATTCTGTTAAACACTGTGATGTAAAAGTATCGTGAAGAAGAAATATACCTTTAACAAAATTGTGTTTATTGCATGGGCAGCCGTAGTACATTTGAATTTCCGAGCCGGGTCAATCTTTCCGGTCCCAGTTTGTACTGTATCGCCCGGACATTGGGTAAATAAAGCAGACACGTAATAAGAAAGCCGGTGCAACAAGGTTGACGCGGTCAAACTTTAGGTTGAATTTACTTTTCTAAAGGGTGAGAGGTCCGTGCATGATTTGTGTTTTTAGAAATATTATTATAACACTAGCTGTGGAACCCAGCTTTTCCTGGAGTTTCCCCATAAAAGCCAACTCAGCGAAAAAGAATTATTAAACCAAACTGTAAACATTCCCGTGTTTCCACCGAGTTTCCCGATCTAAATTTGAGGCAAATCAGAGATCCTTAAAGCATTTTACTTTTGACGAGTAGAAATACAGTGTTACAAACATATTATTTTATATACAGATATAGATTCTTAAATGCAAGGTTATAATGCAAGGAAAGTTATTTCAGAGGTGTACGCATCTTTTCTACTGCAGTGTACTGTCTCTGGGAGGTAATGTAAACTCAAGACAGATGTCGAAGCCTGACATGGGATCCACCTTTCGCATAAAAAAATCAATGAAATATTCTGGTCAAAGGAAACTATTAAGTGAATTATCAAAATTATCAACATTTAATGCTTTTAACCTACTCGGATACTAAACGATATGTACGCAGAGTATACGCAACTGCAATTAACTCTCCTTGCATTACAACCTTGCTTAAATGCAAAAAGACGAACGACATTTATGTCTTTCTTTCTCTCTTTCTTTCTCTCATCCTTCCGATAAATTATTTAAAAATAAAATAAACTACTCTAAATTTATTAAACATATTTCAAGTATGAAAATCAAAGAAAAATATAGAGATATGGTTTTACTAAAGAGCTGAACATTTTAAAGCTAGACAAAAAGAATACATAAATAAATAATGTAAATAAAAGATAAAATTTAATATAAATTACAATTCATCGTATAGAGAACGGTCATAAATAAATAGATTCATTTTTTAGCACATTTTGGAAACAAATTTTTTTCTAGGCATCCGGGTGCTTTTGAATAAGATAAAAATCAATCAAGATTTTAACTTTTAAACATTTATATATATTAAAATATATCAGCTCGGGTAGAGAAATGGTCGAATTTGAAAATTTCTGATTTCTCATTCGTTCGCTGAACCCCTTCTCGAAACTTACACTCATTCAGCTTATTCAAAAGTTCCCGACTGAGAACGCAAAAAACAAAAGTTTGAATAAAAATAATATTTTTTTTTATTTATATCTTTTTGCTTTTAGTATTCAAGTGCTGTATTCAAGATGTGTGCCAATACTTGAAACACATTCTACACCTTCATCTTTCTTTCAAACTTTTGAGTTTCCGTGCGTAAATAGAATATAAAAGGTACAGGATTCTTTTGGTTTTATTAACATACATTAATTTGGCACAATTACGTATCTTTTAATTGTTTAGCTAACTAATTAATCCTAAGACGTACAATTATGAAGATAATCAACTATTAAAGAAATCTATAATATGGGATATTAAAAAGTTATTTTAAACCCCATCTTAGACAAATATGAGAAAGAATTTAACAAAGTATTTTTCCAATAGGCCCTATTCAATTAAAATTACTGAATAGTAAAAAAAATCCATTTGAAAATTTCTGTCATTGAAACAAATCAATGAAAGTAAATTTGAAACCCCATATTGAATTTTAAATTTCTTGTGAAAATAGCATTATTTTAAAATATCTTGGCATGATTTTCATAGTTACAATAATCATAATTTATATACCTAGTGTGTACCAGGGACAATAAAGTGTTATTAACCAACTTTATTGTCCCCGGCTCAAACTACTGGCACATTA